ACAGCGGGGATTTTCCTCATCCCGGTGATCATATTAATGACCAGCTACGGATTCATATGCCACAGCATCAGGATGAACATCAGATACAAGACCAAGAAGACGCCGGCGGATGGCGCGCACAAGAACGGGCTGATCGGGAAGAACTCTGTGAGCAGCGTCACCACGATCTCCAGAGCGAAGTTACGCACCGTCAAGATGACTTTCGTCATTGTTCTCGCGTATATCATCTGCTGGGCGCCGTTTTTCACCGTGCAGATGTGGTCGGTGTGGGACAAGAACTTCAGCTGGGATGGTGAGTGAAAATGAGGGAAAGATTCACGTGCATGCCATGAAATTATGATTCAGGTATTAAATGTGCACATAGTAACACTTTTTAAATAGCCTAATCATTTAAATAAAATGTAGTAATTTCATAGTTAACAAACATTATATTATCATATTTAATGCTTAACATATCATTGTACACTAAAAATAAAAAATTTCATATATTTCACACATTCATATTTTTGATGTGTTTTAAATGTGCACACTGCATTTTATATATAAATCTCTTTGAACACTTTATAGCAAGTTTCATTTAATTATAGGCATATGTAAATACGGGTTCCAATATATGCTGAGCAACATAAATATCATTAAATATGTTAGGTAGTACAATTTAAGATTTAAAATGTCATGCATTTCATTCATATTTCATATTTGCATTTATGTATTAACGTTGGATTGCTCACTGTGCAAAGTAAAAATATGCGCAGGTTTCCTATTTCTACCTGATCTGACCCAAAAATACATTAATTTGTGTAATCAGGTTGATCTGGTCAATTTTTATTATTCAAATTATTTATCAAATGTAAATATAAAACAGATTGTAATCATGGGGCATCAATGTGGTAACAACATCTAAAATATCAATTGTCCCCTATACATTGATTTTTATACTGAATTGTTTATTAAATGTGCAAATACTTTATTGTATTGTATGTGTAATGAAATGGGTTTATATGATACCAGCATGCTCAGGATGTTTACTGGACGCTTTCAAAAGCACTGCAGCTTTGTTTAAATTTAAAACGCAACAAGTGGCTGCTAATGGAAAGAAGTACTAACGTGTTAAATATAGTCTCTCTGATATAAAGATCATTTGAGAAATGAAGTCATGAGACCAGAATAGTGTGTCTAAACAGAACAGCTGCAGATTTAGGATGTGTGAATCTCCCATTAAAATTCCACACGAGCTTATGGGATGTTTAGTTAACCCAATTTCACCTCATTTT